AAGTGACCTATAACTCCATGTCACCCCATGTTATCACTCCCGTTAGTTTTAAATGGTTGTACAGCCCTTATAGGGCTAGAAGATGTTAGCTGTATATATAATAGAGCAATTTAAAAATACTTAACAATTCAGGATAGGGAGGGGGTGGAAAGAAACTCAGAATGGAGAAAGAAAAGGGTAGGAAAAGAATAGGAGCATATAAGACTGAAAGGAATAAATAACAGTGTTTAACAAAAGTGTTACTACTACAGGGCAATCATGTTGGAAGGTTGGGTTTATTTTTTCCTCATTTTAAGCTTATTACAAAACAAATTTAGATTTTTTATCTTGTGAATTCTCCATTTCTTAGTAAGCATTTAAGGCTATTATCTTTCTAACATGGATATTTCAAGATTCCTTCCTTTCATACACGGAGTTCTGTTGATATTCTGCGTTACATGTTGCATTGCTTGCTAATGGAAAAGTTAGTGGTTCAAATCCACCAGCTACTCCATAGGAGAAATAGGAACAATCTTTCTTAGTAAAAACTTGTTTGGACAGTAATTGTAATTCAGAGATAGATCAAGGCTACAGTTTTGTCAATCTCTGTATTGTCAGGCTAAAAGTACTACTTTCTGTAGGTCCTTATTATAAAATTGTTAAATGTACTCACTGCGTTTAGATGGGTTGCATAGAACTCTCCATGGATAGTAATGAGAAGAGAGTAAACTCAGGCCTCCTTGTCTAGAACTTAATTTCTGTGACAAGAATCTCTTTGTAGACATCTCAGAACTGACAGAAAAATTCTAATTTGTGTGTGTGTGCTTATGTGAATACCAGATACACATAGCTTAAACTCATTTATTTTGGGATTACAAGGGCCCAGACCTTACATTGTTTATATGTAATTTTTTTTAAATTTTTTTACTTTATTTCATTATTTTTTGTGTGTACTGTCAAATCAGATCTGACTGATACAGGAGGAGATTGTTCCTCCTTTTCCAGCAGAGCGTCTGGTGGATTTGAACCATGTACCTCTGAAATTGCAGTGCAGCTTCTTGCCACTAGGCCACCAGAGCTCACCACTGTTGATATATAATTTTTGTCACTGAGGATTGATTTCCTAGTGATCGGAATGATCAAGATGTTTAATGCTGATTTCTTAACACTATTTTTTAAAAAATGAATTTCGCTGAATCTTTGGCTCAGCATTATTTCCTGAGAACTAAGATTGCATTCTTCATTAAAGCAATCTATTACCAATTATGATCCCTCACTTAGAACATGAATTCCCTAAAACCAAAGTGATGAAGAAGATATTTACCACCAGAAATCTTCACAGAGCAGCGTGATTATTTTTCTTATAGATACAATGGTACAATAGAATTTTAAAATTGAAGGGTACCTCTCAGGTAAAACACTTTGCATTTTTGTTTCTGGGAAAATAGGTCTGATTTATTATTCATCTATTTCTGTGTAACAAGTAGCCTTTTAAGTTACTGTCTTAATACAATAAACATTTCTTACACTCAAAATTTTTCTGGGACAAAAGTTTGGGAGTGACTCAACCTGTTTGGTTCTGACTTGAGTCTTTGAAGTCAGTAGGATTGCTATAAATCTGTAGGTCATGTTATAGTTCATATAGGTGATGTTCAGGTACAACTTAGGTGAGTCTAGATGATACGTTCCCAGTTGGATCATTTTCATGGACTGTGCTTGTTAGTGGAAGTTCTCAGTTCTTTGTCCTGTGAGCCTCTCCTCAGGCTGCTTGCATGTCTTCACATGGCAGCTGGCTTTCTTCAGAGTGGGAGATAAGGAAGACTAAGGCAGGGCGACTGTGTCTTTTATGACCTAGTATTGGATATCACACATTGTCATTTCTGCCACATTCTGTTCATTTGAAGCAAGTCCTTAACTTTGGTCCACATTTAAGGAGCAGAGAATTGGGCTTCACATTCTGAAGGGTGGAATATCAAAGCATTTGTGGCCATACATGACTTTTCCGTTGTTGTTTTTTAATAGCTTAAGTATTTTATTTGTGAGCAAAGACAAGATGAGTTCTGGGAGGATGTCAAAGGTATCATCCAGGAAGAGTGCAAACGGTCATTACAAAGACAGAAGAGGAAGAAAAGACATTGAGCCTCAGTCCATACTGAAGGCTGCAGTCCTTGAATGGATGTCAGAAGAGACTCTGAAGATTGCACTGGAGCGTAGAGAAGCCAAAGCACAAGGAAGAATTCAAGATACTAAAGAGCTGAACAGAAGGTTCCAAAAGGCAGCTCGGAATGACAAAGCAAAATACTACAATGAAATGTGCGAGGAGCTAGAGTCAGAAAATCAAAAGGGCCGAACTCGCTCAGCATTTCTTAAGCTCAAGGAACTGAAGAACAAATTCAAACCTAGAGTTGCTGTAATCAAGGATGCTTTGGGCAGAATATTAAATGATCCAGGAAGTATTAAAAGAAGATGGAAGGAATATACTGAGTCATTATATAGAAAGGAATTGGCAGATACAGAGGAATTTAAAGAAATAACATATGAGCAAGAGCCTATGGTGATGAAGGAAGAAATTCAAGCTGCTTTGAAGGAAATAGCAAAAAATAAGGCCCCAGGAATAGATGGTATACCAATTGAAGTATTTCAGATAACAGATGTTGCCCTGGATGTGCTCACCAAGTTGTGCCAAGAAATCGGGAGAACAGCCACTTGGCCAACTGACTGGAAGAGATCTATATTTGTTCCCATTCCAAAGAAAGGTGACCCAACTGAGTGTGGAAACTACAGAACAGTGTCATTGATTTCACATGCAAGCAAGATTCTACTGAAGATTATCCAAAACCGATTAGAACAACACATCAGCAGAGAACTGCCGGAAGTCCAGGCTGGGTTTAGAAGGGGTTGTGGTACTAGGGATACTGTTGCTGATGTTAGATGGATCTTGGCTGAAAGCAGAGAATACCAGAAGAATGTCTGTCTGTGTTTCATTGATTATGCAAAGGCATTTGACTGTGTGGATCATAACAAACTGTGGCTGACTCTGAGAAGAATGGGAATCCCAGAACATTTAATTGTGCTAATGCGAAACCTATACTTGGACCAAGAGGCAGTAGTCAGAACAGAGCAGGGTAACACTGCATGGCTCAAAATTGGGAAGGGTGTACGCCAGGGATGCATCCTATCTCCATACCTTTTCAACATGTATGCAGAGCAGATTATCCGAGAGGCTGGGCTTTATGAGGAGAATTGTGGCATCAGGATTGGTGGAAGATCTATTAACAATCTGCATTATGCAGATGACACAACCCTTCTTGCTGAAACAGGAGGACCTCATGCACTTGCTGCGAAGGGTCAAGGACTGCAGCCTTCAGTATGGACTGAGGCTCAATGTCAAGAAGACAAAGATTCTCACCACTGGACCAATTGGCAGCGTCAGGATGGATGGCGAAGAGATTGAGAGTGTTCACAGCTTCAGTTTGCTCGGCTCCACAGTCAGCACTCTTGGCACCAGTAGTCAGGAAATCAAAAAGCATATCGCGATGGGAAAGTCTGCTGTTAGGGACCTCTCTAAAGTACTCAGGAGCAACGGTGTCTCTGGAGACTAAGGTGCGCCTGATACAGGCCATGGTCTTTGCAAATCGCTTGTTATGCATCAGAGAGTTGGACAATGACTAGGGAGGACAGAAGGAGAGTGGATGCTTTTGAGCTGTGGTGCTGGAGAAGAGTACTGAATGTACCATGGACTGCCAGGAAAACAAACAGATTTATTTTGGAGAGGATTAAACCAAGCTGCTCCTTGGAGGCAAGGATTCTGGGGCTTCGTCTGACATACTTTGGACATGTTGCCAGGAGGGACGGGTCCTTGGAGAGGGACCTCATGCTTGGGAGGGTGGAGGGACAGCGCAGGAGGGGAAGATCCTCTATGAGATGGATCGATTCGGTGACTGGGGTAATCGGGATGGGTGTGTCAGAGGCAGTGCGGTTGGCGCAGGATAGAGCAGGGTTTAGGGCTGTTGTGCATAGGGTCACTATGAGTCGGAAACGACTCGATGGCACATAACAACAACAAGCTTGTTAACACCATATCATGAAAATGTACAAAGAATAATGTTGCAGTTTTTGGTTAGATTTAGCCATCTGACCTGAACAATGGTCTGTGGTTACTACCGTACTTTGCAAGGTGTTGGCATATATTTGCAATACATCAGTTTTATGACAGTTGGAGAAATGAGAATATTTCTGCATGGTCCTACACCGAAGTGGTGATCCACTTGGACCACAAGTTAAATATTCTAATTTGTTTTAACAGAATCAGTAGGTAAATATTTTAAGTAATAGTTCTTTCACTTCCATCTATTACTAGATACAAATATTAGAATCAAGTTTGTTTGCATTTGTTTGTGCTCATGCATCTGCTTATTTGTTCACCAACCCTTAGATAATCCACAGTGTACCATGTGCTAAACTTTGTAATACTACTAGAATATGTACAAGAGTTATATTTGTATGTAATACTATTTAATGACACTTACTGTTTGAGAGAGATCTTCTTAAATAGATTTAATTTACCAATAAGGTAAAAGTAACCCTTTTATGCTAACTTTATTAGTAAAATATTATAGCTAGTTTCCCTAATTTTTTTTCAGAAATTATTATTTTTTTAATTTTAATGACTGTTTAGAGAGTTTGGATTTCCATTCATTGTTGCACATTTAGTTTCCCTAATATTTACTGATCAATTCTCAATGCTTAATATTGGAGTAGGAAAGAAATAGGTACAATATTTGTTTAAAAATGTGTTTTTAGATAGGAAAAAAAAGTGTATATGTATAAAAATCGAGGCTGTAGCTGTAAACCAAGTATATTGACTTTATATTGATCAGAAAAACCATTTATTGATAGGATGTAGTGCTTAAGAATTTTTTTATAGTGGTATTTGCTTGAGTTTTTTTAACAAATGGAGTATGAAAGAAATGTTTTCCTCTTTAGGAGCATTCACTTACTGAATTCTTTTTCTTTTATAGGCAATGTCTGTGCTGCTTCAAGGAATATAAGCATTTGGAGATTTTTAACCAAGTAGTTTGTGCACTTATTAATTTAGTGATTGCTCAAGTTCAAGTGCTCCGGGACCAGCTTTGTAAACACTGTACTACTATTAACATCGATTCTACCTGGAGAGATGAGAGTAATCAAGCGGAGGAACCAGTGAAAAGAGAGAGAGAGTGTAATGAAGGAAGTACAGAAAGACAGAAATCTGTCGAGAAAAAATCAAACTCCACAAGGGTTTGTAATCTGACTGAGGAGGAATCTTCAAAGAGTTCAGATCCTTTTAGTTTGTGGACTGCAGATGAGAAGGAAAAACTGTTACTATGTGTGGCAAAAATTTTTCAAATACAGTTTCCTTTATATACTGCTTACAAGCATAACACTCATCCTACCATAGAGGTATGTAACATAGGTGGTGTAAATTTTAGGAAATGTTAAGTCATAGTTAACTCAGCACATTTTTCTCGTGTAAATAAATTTGAAGACATAAATGTTTATGAAAAGAATTTTATGAAAATCACACAGTTAACAAGATTATCTTTCAGTTTTCATTTTTTTAAGTAGCTCTTTGTGTTCAATATTTGCTCATAGTCATGTTGTTACATACCATCAAGGTGGAACCAACCCATAGTGGACCTTCGGCAGCTTTTCAGAAACAACGAATCACTCGGGAGTTGATGGCTCATCTTTCTCTCACAGAGCGACTGATGGATTTGAACTGTGTACCTTCCCATTGTCTATTATTCTTCACCATTAAGACACCAGCACTCTACTTGACGGTCTTAACTAAAAACTTAAAAATTGAACAGATAAAAATGGAACTGTTTGTGCTCAAAACATTTTGGTGATGTGAATCTGTGCTGCTCTAGATAGGAGATAATGCTGGAGTAAAGAGAGATTTAAATTTCATTCTTAGTATAAGAAGCAGTTTAAAAATCTTTGCCAGTAAGAGTTTGATGCATTATTGGAATATATGAAGGGAGGGACAGTGTGTAATAAATGGACATTTGAATCATTGTGGGTAATGTAGTTAACATTAGGAACAAAATAAGCATGATTGGAAAAAACTTCCAACACCAGGAAAAGTTTACACATGGATTCAGTCTTGCAGGGTCAGCAGGGATGTGAATGGAAGAAGGTGGTGAGGATTAAGAGATTAGATAAAAGGAAAGGCAAAGTATAATCAGGATTTGATGAAACATGGCAATGAATTGACATTAATCAGTTATAATCCATGCTTTAAAAAGGAAATATATATAAATGATTGCATGAAAACTAATTATGAAGAAATATTACAGGCAAAAAAGTTAGAGATACTGTGATAAATGCACTACATGAATTAATTTCACTGTTAAAAGATAAGATAAAATGTCTATTAATCAGTGAATGGAAGCAGAATAGTTTTTAACTTTACGGATACTTAAATTTTTAAAAATATTTTGATATGTCCTGTGAAGTTGTAAAGCAACCCATACCTGAGCCTCCAGCGTGTTTCCAGAAGCTGTTCATTGCACGGGAGCAGGTTGTCTTCTGCAGAGTAGCTGTTAGATTCATACCACCTGCCTTCAGGTTGGCACCAACAACTCCTTACTACTAGGCCACTAGAGCTACCTTAGTAAGTAGTCGTTTTTAAAAGGATCTCTCATGGGTCACTGCAGGTTAGTATTTGGCTGCTAACCAGAAGGTTTACCGTTCCCCTCTTCCTACAGTTTTTATACTGTTGTTGGATCAAGTCCTTTTCATCTCCTAATGGCCCGTAGTTCTTCATAGTTCTTGGTAGTCGGTCTTGTCAGAGGAGCCCTAGTGCAGCAGTGAAGAAGTGCTCAGTTGCTAACTGAGCCCACCTCGCATGTGGGAGAGACATGTGGCAGTCTGTTTCTGTAAAGACTGTAGTTTTGGAAACACTGTGGGTCATTTGGTTCTGTAGGATTAATGGGAACCAGTTCACTTCACCACACATTTTATTTTTATAAAGTAGATATTTTATTCTTCATCAGCTTTATGGGCATTATTAAATTTAGATATGGAATTATTTGGCTAATCCCACTGGTTAGTTTGTGTTTTGTCCAAAAAAATTGGAACTTTGGAAAGAAATGTTGATTCAGCTTCTACTGTTTCCATGCTGTTCCCTATAGATATATGTTAAGTCTTTAAATACTATTTAAAATGAGATTGTAATATCTCAGAATAGTCTAATGAGCAGAAATAAACTGATAGCCATGTGGATGTTACCAAGTTCATGTCTAAATATGCTGCAAGTTGTTAGGTGTGATCGAGTCCACTCATAAGTGACCCTCTTAACAGCCAGTCTAAGCACTGTTTTATCCCACGGCATTCACAGTCTCTGACACACTCAGTGTGCTGCATAGCAGCTTCCATGTTAACACACTGGAAATCAGAAGTATCACATCCCAGCAGTAATCTCTTTAATATTATTGAAGGGGTTCTTTTATTCAGGATCTTTTGAAAACAATGGAGAGGTACGTTGAGTAACTTGGAAACTATGGCCATGGTATTTGAATCTGAGGAGCAGGTTAAGAGCTTTAGTACACTTATTTTGGCAAATGTTTTGACTTGTATAAGGACACTTTCCTTTGTTTTTGGGTTTATTGAAACGTTTTACAGAGTTCTTTGTTACTGTTTTTTGTCCTTAGTTTTTAAAGGTTTATTTTAGCAGTGAAATGTACCTTGTAAAATAGGTAACAGCAAGGAATAAATTGGCTCCTTTGCCACCTAACTTTTTTCAGATGAATGCACCTAGCTTTCAGATTACAAAATAATTTCAATGTAACAAATTAAAACACAATGTGTAAAATAGTGCCTTTTAAAGAGCCTTGAACTTCCCCTTTTCTTTCCTGTCCACAAGAAAACCATTATGAAAAGATTACTTTGTTATTTCTAGATATTTAAAAATTTATTAAAATTAGGTCATGTTAATTCTGTCTTTGAAAATCTTACTTTCTGTTTCTAAAAATCAACTTTATTTTTCTTTTTAGGGGTATGATGTACAGTCCATAAAAATCATTTGTTGAAAGTACATAATTTAATGAATCTTAGTAAATTTATAATTGTACAACTATTATTCTACCTTAAGATCATTTTCTTCATCCCTTCCAAAATCCTAATACCAATTTTACCTTAATATTTTTAATGACTACTTAAGAGTCTCTAAATATCAGCATTACCTGTTTAACATTATTTCCAGCCATTGGTACGGTTAGCAAAACTGCTCTAATTGCATTAGTACACAGTGGATGGAAGACCTGAGAAGTTCAACATTTACTTAGATACTAAGTTGCTACTAGTTTGGGGATGTTAAAAATCATTGCAGTGAACATGATTGTTTGTCTGTCTTTTTTCCATTGCCTCTCCTGATGAGTTCCTTAGAAAAAATATCCAGAAAGTGAAATTACTGGATCAAAGGGAATGTGCATTTAAAATAGAAAGACACCTGCCAATACCCTTAGAGAAAGACCTTCTCTTCTTCTTTAGCCTCTTTGTGATTATTAATTTATGGGAAAATTGTCTTGGGTTCACTCATTGTGTCCAACAATGAGTAAGTATACCTCCTGATAGTTTAGTATTTTATGTATAGGAAGCAAGTCCCTTTTTTAAAAAAAAAAAAAGGAATTTTAGATTGTGTATTGAGGGCAATATACAATTTCAAAACCACTTTAAGTTATAAAGTGTTTTAAAAAAATTACTGTTTTGAGGAGAGATTAAATAGTTTTAAGAAATCAAAATTATGTGTGGCCGAGGGAGGGCTGGGTATACAAACTTTGTAAATTAGTATAAAATTTTAAAAAAAAAGTGTATTGTGCTGAAAGATTTCCGGTGTACTTTAGAGTTGAATCAGATAGGCTTCAGTTGGGAACACCACAAGTTGTTCATGAAAAGAAATGTCTGTTATTTAGACTTAAAATTACAGTTTTAGCTTTTCCCCCCCTCCCCTTTTAAGGATTTTGGTTAGTTGTGAACTAGTAGAATTTACTTTGTGTTTGTATTTTTTTAGGATATATCAACTCAAGAAAGCAACATATTAGGGGCATTTTGTGATATGAATGTAAGTGTCCATCTTTTTAATCTCAAATTTTGTGGAATATTTGGTTTTGATTATATGTGTCTTTGAGGGTTTTTTGTATATTCACTATCTTTCCAATATTACCAGGTAAGATTTACTACTAGGCTTTTAAATAATGACATACTTTGTTTTTTTTGCAGGATGTTGAAGTACCATTGCATTTGCTTCGTTATGTATGTTTGTTTTGTGGGAAAAATGGTCTTTCTCTCATGAAGGATTGTTTTGAATATGGAACTCCTGAGACTTTGCCATTTATTATAGCACATGCATTTATAACAGTTGTATCTAACGTAAGTATTTTTTAGAAAGGTTTGAAGGTGACAGCTTTTAATTGACTGGTTTGCATGTAACATTTATTATATTTTGGAAAAGTTGAGTATGGAAGCCATTTAAGTTTTGATGTTTCTTTTTAATAACAAAACTAAATAGAATTCAAATAAAACTAGTGGCTTAAAATTTTTATTTAACGTAGCTACATTTAATTTTGAAACTTAAGTAGCAGCAAGGTGAGTGTGTGTCTAATTGCTACTCTGGTCTGGGACACACACCATGGTCTTGGGTTTGGTGGGCAGCTGGGACACTGGATTGCTGTGCCCAACTAGCACTGTGTGTCCCTCTGAAGATCATTCTGTCAAGTTGTGAAAGTCAGTTTTAGCAAAATCTAATACATCTAGAAGCAGAGACTTCTTTTTACTACCTACATATTAAAATTTCATTTTTATTAATCTTCGTCTTTTTTTTTATCATTTTCAAAATCGGTTGAGCAAAGTTTTCTCTAATAGCCAAAATTTTTGTGTGCCTGAAACCCTTACCTGTCTTACTCTAAACTAGTTTGCAGTTTAGGTATTTTCTCTTTTCTTTTCCATCTTAAGAAAAGGATTGCTATAAAATACTAATTTTTTCCCCCGTGAAAGGATGTCTAAATTCAGAAATCCTCAAATAGAAACTCTAGCCCAACTATTGCAGAAACAGACTATACTATGTCTTTTGGGAAAAAAAATCGTACATAAAGAAATGACTAGAACTTTACCGGACGTTGTGCCACAGGGAGCTGTGCTCTAGGGTGCGATCTCTGTGCAACTAGGAAAGAGTAAAGGGAAAGTGTGCTTGTAGTTTTTTCTGAGAAAGAAACTGTTTAAACTTAGAATCTGTTTTATCCTCTTCTAGCTTCTTTGTTATTAATTTCTGGCAAGTTAAGTTGGACTGGTGTGTTTTTTTAACCTTTACAGTTCATTAATGACACTGAAGTCATAAGTTAAAAGTTTTAATTTAGTAACTTAACAACATTGTACTTTCTATTTATATGAAAGTAATATATGTATATATCTAAAGGTTAAAAATCAAGAAAAAAGAAAGTGACTCCATTTTTCTTAATTCTTAAATATTTTCATGTAGTTAGGGAAGCTTTTAGGATTCCATTCATACAAGGACTAGAGAGAAGACCTGAGAAGCTTAGTATCCACTGAGGAAAGGCAAAGGATGCTGTCAAATTAATAGCATGTGTGAGTAGGTTCTTAGAGCATTTTGTATAAATGAAAAACATCCTTACAGTTGACTCTATAAAGATCATCTCTAAATGGAGAAAAGATTGATGTTGTCGGGGATTAACTTGACTTGGATTCATTAGCAACACTCAAGGAAGTCAAGAAACAAAAATATCTCTTTGGGAAAATCTGCTATGGAGGGCCTCTCCTCTCCAAAGTGCTAAAAGAACAAACGTGAATTTAAAGACTAAGGCCAGCCTTTTTCAAGCCGTGGTATTTTCATTTGCTTCAGATGAAAGTTGGACAATGAATAAGAAAGGCCAAAGAATCGAGACTTTTGCATTGTAGAGTTGGTGAAAAGTATGGAATATACTGTGGACTGCTCAAAGGACAAACAGATCTGCCGTGGAAGAAGTGTACCTGCAGCCACAGTGCACCTTAGAAGCAAGGACCATGAGGCGTGCTTTCATGGAGTTTGTTATTAGGTAGAAGTAGTCCCTTTAAAAGGACATGATGCTAGGGAAAGTAGAGGGTCATTGAAAGAGAGACCCTCAACAAGATGGACTGATACCGTGACTGCGAGAGTTGGTATAAGGAGAGTAGGGAAGATAGATGGCCAGAACCCAGGTAGGGTTTTGGTCTGCTGTAACATTGAGATGCTGTGAGTTGGGGCTGGCACATAATAGAATAATATTAAAGGACATAGAATTTAGCTATCTTCCTGGTTTGAATTAAAATATTGTGTGGTTTGTTTACATAACTTTTGTTTATTTGTTTACATTACTTTTATAATATAATCTGTCATAACAGGCATAGTAAAAAAGTCTATTTTATGTTCAAGTTTAAAATAACATTTTTTAGTGTTGACTTTTTTCCTTGTCCTTTTTTTTCATTTAAAGTTTTTATTCACTTATATTTTGTTTATCTGAAAGTAAGATACTGTGTTTACCTATGTTCCTTTTCACCCTCTCTAATGTATCTTGCATTAGGATCTTGTAGTCTTCTTTAAAAATTAAATGTAATATTTATACAGAAAAGTACCCGAAATGCTAATACGTGCTTCAGTGATTTGTCAAAGCAGATGTTTCTTTAACCATTCATTTATAAGCCAGGGAGGGGAAAAAAACCCCATTTCATAGTGATGAAATATAATTAATTATATAAAACATTATATATATATATATATATATATGAAAGCCAATTAAAACAACAGAAATTATCAGTTCCTCAGAGGCTTTCTATCTGATATCTACGGGCCACAATCCTGCCCCATAGAGGTAAACACTATTCTTACTTTTGTGATAATCACTTTTCTTGATTATCTTTCTTTTACTACCTAATCCAGCACCCTAAACTGTCTGATCTGGGGTTTTTTAAACTACATAAATAGCATCGCATGACACATTTTTTCCTGACTTATTTGTTTAGTTTTGAAGTTTACATCATGCAGTTTTCCCATTTCCACTGCTGTACAAGTCTCCTTGAAAGAAATAGACCATTATTGATGCTACAGGTGATGCACCTTTAGGTTATTATAATTAACGTGTCAGCATTCTGTTTCATATCCCTTGGTGTACAGGTCCGTGTGTTTGTGTGTATATATACACTTAGATTTGAGTTTTGAGTTCTTGCCAAAGTTTTCCAAAGTTGTACTGATTTGTCCTCCTCTTCACATCCTTTGGAGAGCTCTGGTGACACCGTTCGTAGGGAGTGTTGGTTTGAATCCGCTAGTGGTTATGAGGGAGAAAGATGGACAGTCTTTTCAGTGTGATTCACCCGGTGGCCTTTGAAAATCCACTGCAGGGTCAGTTCTGTCAGTTCTGACTGGATGGCAGTGAGAGGAATCCTCAGGAATTGGCCCTGTGCTGGTAGGATCCTTCAGATTGCTCCACATGCTGGTTAATAGTACTTGGTACTCAAAATTCTGGTGGGTTTTAGCAGTATCTTGTGGCTTTATGTCACTTATATTGTACCATTAATAATTTAATGAGATTGAACACCTTTTTTAAGAATTTTAGCCATTTGGACATTTTTTACTGAAGTTCTTCATTAAAGTTTATTGCCAGTTTTGGTAAAAAAATTAGATTTCTCCCCCCCCCCCTTACTGATTATGGACAGTGATTCCTTATATGTTTCCAGTATACATCTGTTGTCTGATACAAGAACTGTCAATACCTTCATTCTGTGTGTAATATGCATGTCAGTCTTTATTTGATAGTTATAATGTTTTCATTTCTTATTGGTAAAATCTATCTTTACCCCAAGGCCATTGAGATTTTCACATATTCTAAAAGTTCTGGTTTTTTGTTTTCTTTATTCTGTTTTGGTTTATTTTTTCACTTTTTAAATTTGATCAAGTGATGAAGGTTAACTTTTGTGTATAATGTAAGGGAAGGACCAAAATTGATCTTCACTTTTCCTCTATTGAAACACTTTCTAAATAGTTAGTTCTACGATGTTATCTACTAGTATTAATACTATTCATTACAAAGATAGTTCTTTTGTGGTGCTGTGAAGTATCACTTTGCTTTTTTTGGTAAATCGAGTGTCCTTACATGTGTGAGTGTGGGCTCTGTAGTATTAATCTGTTTCCTTTAATATTTTGCCAGTTCTACATTAATTACTTATACATTATCAGAAGTCTTGTTATCTGGTACAACATTTGGTACCTTTTCCATCCTTCATTGAGAGAATTTTGGCTTTTCATCTATTTGAGTAGATTTTCAGTTGATTCTAACTACAGTGGTTTCATTTTTATCTTTTCTTTTATTGGAAGATTCTATAGATAAGTTTGTGAAAAATTACCATCTTTATAATTTTCTAATCATAGAAAATCTTTACATAGACCAAGAAGCAGTTGTTTGAATAGAACAAAGGGAGACTGCATGGTTTGTAATCCTTTCTCCATACTTGGTTAATCTGTATGCTGGGCAAATGATATGAAGAATGTGACATCAGGACTGGAGGAAGACTCCGCATCCTCTGTTCACGGATGGCAAAACTTTGCTTGCAGAAATGTAAGAACACTTAAAAGCAATTGCTGCAGAAGAACAAAGTCACCTTGGTTACATCTCAACATCAAGAAAACAGAAATCCTCACTACTGGACACATAGGCAACATCTTCACAGGTGGAGAAAAAATTGAAGTAGTCAGTGGTTTTATTTTGCTTGAATCTGTAATCAAAACCCCTTAGTAGCAGCGGCCAAGAAATCAAAAGATGTGTTGTACTGGTGAAATCTTTCACTCAAGGACCCCTCCATGGTGCTGAGGAGCAGCGTTGTCAAATTTAAAGACTTAAGATGTACCTGATTCAAGCAGCAGTCTTTTCAGTTGCTGCCTATGCATGTGAGAGTTGGATAGATGAATGAATAGGGATGGCTGAGAAGGCTCTGTGCCTTTGAATTGTGGCGAATAAGACATTTATTAGAAGGATACAGATTTCAAATGAGTTGGAATATATGGAGAGAAGTGAGGAAACATAGTTACAACCGTCTACACTGGTTTAGAGGAGACATAGTAACTTCAGTAAAAAGTTCTTGATTTTGTAGGATGGTAATCAGCATGTCATTCTGTAAAAATTCTTTTTATTTACATGGGTTTGAGGTGACTCAAAATGATACTTTAGAAGGAATATGTATTTAGGTTAGATTGCTTAATTCATATTGTATAATTTTTCATAAGTTTACTCTTCTCAAATGAAATACATTCATTTTTAGGGACAGCAGAATAGTTATAAAACTACCTTTTAAAAAATTCTTATATTGCTGTAATACTTAAGTAAAAAAAATTTGTAGTTCATCTTTTTATACAGATGTACAGTTTGGTCAGATTTAAACCTTATTTGTAATTAAAGAAATTAATAGGTCACATTGTTATACATGAATGTAATTTTTAATTCTTTTTTAATGTAGATTAGAATATGGCTGCATATCCCTGCTGTAATGCAGCACATTATACCTTTTAGGACCTATGTTATCAGGTAAGTTTATGAAGCCTTTTCTCCCTGATTATGAATATGTTGTATATTTAAACAATTTATAACATAGTAAAGAATTACTGTGTATAAAAAGTCCCTTGTAGGGAGCTCTGGTGGCCTAGTGGCAGGAACTGCACTGTAATCCCAGAGGTATACAGTTCAGATCCACCAGATGCTCTGCTGGAGGAGAGGCAATCTCCTCCTGTACCAGTCAGATCTGATTTGATGGTACACAAACAATAATAATAATAATAATAATAATAATAATAATAATAATTCCTTTGTAATCCCACTTGGAGAGTTGTAGTAGTTTGGTGTTTAATGTTTCTTATGTGCATATATGACTTTGTTTCACAAGTTTACTTTTAAGCCGTTAATGTTGAACTATTTTAATATCAGTGTATTAGAAGAAGTAATGTTTGTGTACCGTTTTATGTTTGTTCACAGGCATATGCTCTTATGTTCTGGCCCGCAGCCATTGAGTTGATGTCGACTTATAGTGTTGGCTCAAACTGTTGGGTTTCCGAGGTTGTAAATCTTTGATAACCCATATTTTTTTCTCTGGCAACTGGATTTGAACTGCTTCCATAGTGATTAGCAGCTCAATACACAATGCACTGCACCAGCAGGATTTACTATATAGCAGATATTGAAAAACAACACACACAAAACTAAAATAGGAACAAATGCCTTTCTGTTCTCTTGGGCATACTAGAAGGGAATGAGAACACAAACAACTACTATTTCTAAAACCTACTTTTGTTGAGTCAGATCCCACTTTTAGAGCTCCCCCCCCCATTATGTTTCCAAAATGGCAAAGTTTTTTTTGGGGGGGGGAAGAGTTAAATGAAAGTTTCCTTAGCAGATTGATCCCCCCCCCCAAGTCAAGGATTAATATATGTTTTGTTTTAAAATATTTACTGCATCCACCAAGTAATGACACTCTTTCCACATCTTCCTTGTGAGATTATGTTTATTAATCATTCTATCCTACCCCTTTCACTTTTTGGTTTTTATCCTTGGGCACATGTTGTTATTTTCACCCTATGTGATGCTTATTCTAAGGAGCACTTGCTTCCTGGGTGTTTTTGTTAACTTAAATTGTTGCTGTTAGGTGCCTTTGATTAACCCTGTGAACAACAAATGGAAACTTTACCCTCATACTGTGCTTTTCACAGAGTTTCCACTGTGCTTAGGCCCATTGTTGGAGACAAGCCCATAATTGAGAAACTTGTCTCCTAGAAGGCTTGCCTATTGTGTGGTTGAAAGTTGAGCTTTGGGGGTAAGATTTGTTCCAGGTTCAAAAGGTGACTAAGGGTCCAAGACTGACTCTCTATGGGAGGAGACTGCCCATCTTTTCTGCACCCTTTGGCTTAGCCCAGCATGCAATACACTATGCCATCAGGATTTCTTAAATCATTACAGAGAAAAAAAATCAGCAAAAATAAACAATTTATTAGGTGGATTATGGTTTTACATAGAGGTGACTTGGGTTTCTAGGTATCAAACCGTGAAGGGAAAAGGGAGTTATGACTGAAACACCTATTGGAATTCTGAGAATTTGAATTCTTGGTAAAATTTATGACTACTTTTTTATTTGCAAATATTTGAGTAACTGCTGTTTAGAGATAGTGTTCTACTTCAGGGCAACGTCAGGAAAGAGTGAATGTGATGCAAGAATAGTATAATGCATGAAATAGATCCGGTCTTCTCAGAGATGACATCTGAAGGATACGATTCATCTCATTAAGCAGTAAAAAGGACAGGGAGGTAGCAGTTGGAAGGAAAGTGACATGCTAAACTAAAGCAGAGTGGCTAGGGTGGAGTGGCGGGTGTTGTTTAAGGTTGGGGTAGGTAAGAGGTTGGAATGAAAAGTAGGGCCAGATTATAAAGTACCTTGACAGCTGGTATAAGGCATTCACATATCATATTAATGAGCATTAAGAGATGGTGTAGCGTGCACTCTGTGGGACTGTTAAATGAAAAAGTAGTTTGAATTGGCTCTTGGTTCAGTGGCAGAAAGATGGTCAGTGTCCTTCTGGAAAAGATTGCTGGCTTTGGAATCGACGAAGGAGGATCTCTGTTAGAACTGGCAGTGGACTTGAACAGCAGGAATTGTTGTGTGGCCTTCAGAGAGAATGTCTCTTGTTTTTGAAAAGGCAACTTGCAAGTATGTCATGAACTAGAGGGATGATAGAGTGGAAGCCAAGAGACCAGGTGGTTTATAGTGTGCTATACATTGAGTTGTTAACCAAATGGTGAGTGGTTTGAATCTGCCTGGTGCCCTGAGGGAGGAATGGGAGGAGTCTGGAGGAATCTTAAAACACTCTTGTAAAACCTAGACCATGAGGCTGTTGTTGGAACAGAGCGGGGTAACACTGCATGGTTTCAAATCAAGAAAGGTGTGCGTCATGGATGTATTCATTCTCCTTACGTCTACAGTCTTCATGGCAGGCAACTAATTTCAGAACCTTGCCAGATGAATTGGGGATCTCCGTGCTGGAATTTAGAAATGCTGAAATGCTTGGCCATGCCTGCTGGCTGAGGGCTAGTGTGTTGTGAATCGGTTTATGCTGGATGTTATGATGGCCTCTCACATCTTGAGGAGGGACGTGTATGGAACGCTCAGGGCTCTTGCGCATTTCTTTTTATCCCAAGTGGGTGTTAATTGACTTTGGATGAACACTGTTTTGAGTGGTACGGCAGAGGTCTATTTGCTCTACTGAAATAACATAGAGTTGCTGTGATGATCGACAGCTGTGCCACAGATGTGTCAGACACCGTAATTGGCTACTCACACAGACAGTGTGTGTTGGAGCTCCTAGATTGATTCAGGTTTGGAAGCAGGTGAGGCATCCACTTCTTAAACCTTGGAGAAAGGATGATAGTTACAGAAAGCCTGTAGGTCTTCTGTTTATATATGTATCCTTTCCCATGTGTATTCGTCTGTATGCTGAAAAAATTATTCAAGAAGTTAGACTCTGTGAAGAAACATGTGACATCAGAATAGGAGACGGGAATCGGTGGAATGCTCCCAGATGGGTGTTGTTGGATGGTGAGAGCCAGTGGGAATGCTTGATTATGGAGGAATGTGGAATGACGGAGCTTATGGAGTTTGAACCATGCTTTTGATTCTTAACATTCTTTTAAGTGGTATAGCACTGGTTTACCCATTTGCTTTACAGAGGTAACTCATGGTTGCTGGGATGCAAACCACTTCACAGTGATGAGCCAAAATGCGATAATGGTCACCCATGGTGCACAGTGTTTGGTGGAGCTCCCCAATTAAAACAAGCTTGGAAGCAGGAGTGACATCCACTTCCAAAATAGCTTGGCTCCGGAAACTTTCTGAACATGGAGAAACAATGAAAGTTATAAAAGTGTTCAGGTCTTTCATTCATTGGGTCGCTGTGAATTGGCTACAATTTGACGGCACTTAGCAACAACAGTAACAGACTATATCAAGAATACTATGGCATCAGAATGGGAAGATTTCATCAACAGCCTGCTTTATGCACATGACATCGCTTTGTTTGCTGACAGACAGCAGCAAAGACCTGAAGCAGATGCCCAAAGTCGACGCCCTTTAATAGAGACTGTGTCTCAGTATCGAGAAGACAAAAATCCTCACCAGTGGACAGGTGTGCAACACCATGATAGAAGGTTGAAGTAGTTAAGGACTTCATCTTACTTGGATCCACAGTCAACACCTTTGATAACAGCAGTCAAGAACTCAAAAGATGTCTTGCATGGGGGGAATCTGTCAGGGACCTCTCCAAGGTTCTGACGAGCAGTGATGTCAGTTTAAAAACTGAGGCATTCTAGTTCAAGCTGTGGTCTCTTAAATTGCTTGTTAGTAGTGAATAAGGATGACAGAAGAATAATCAATGCCTTTGAATTGTGGTGTTGGAGAAGAGTACTGACGATGCCACGAACTACCAAAAGAACAAAGATGTTTTGGAGAGGGTGCGGCCAGAGTGCTCCTTACAGGCAATGATGATGAAACTTCCTCTCACGTACTTGGGGTGGCTTCTATTTTGTGCTGTGGTTAAGAGGGGCCAGTTTTTGGAAAAGAACATCCATCATGCTTGGAAAGGTGAAGAATCGTTGAAAGAGGAAGACCTTTAGTGAGAGAGATTGACACAGTGACTGCAGCAGCTGGAACAGAGCTGTCAGGGACCACGAGGATGGTGCAGGACAGGGCAGCGTTCAGCTCTGCTGTTAATGGGTTCGTTGGGAGTTGTGGGGGTCTTGGCAGCACCTAACACCAGCAGCAGCCTTCCTGTTGATGGCCTCAGAAACTTGATGGTTGTCATGGTAGAGGTTCACTGTAATTTGTGACCAACTGGGTGGCATCTAACAACCACCACCCACATTCCTGTTAATAGTCTCAGAAACTCGATAGCTACTTACTGTGATTCAGTCTACTTGATGTTAGTGGATTTGGTTTTTGGTTTGGAGTAGTTGAGAGATGAATGAAAAGGTTCATTTGAAAGAAATGACAGATACTTAAAATGACTTTAAAAAACTGGTCAGAAGTGAAAGTAAAGTTCAAAGAGATTGATTAATGGGTGACATTAGTTTCAGTACTGGTGTAGAAAATGCGCAGTACTGAACACCTTGGAGAGGGCGAACCAGTCCCTGCTGGGAAGGTTGTCACTGGCACACAGTTAAGAGAAAGGTGTATTAAGGGGGAAGAGAAGTTTATTAAAGACAGTACACTGCCTAAGAAACAAACAGTGGGTCTCTTCTGGAATTAGATAAAGAGTCTAGGTTCCATTATTTATGCTTTGAATTTCTCAGCTCTCCTGTTTCTTCAACCTGAGATTCTCTCTGGTGGTGAGAGGTGTCTCTCTCACTTTGACCACAGGTGAGCTCCCAAGGAAGTGGGCCCTCTGTTCCAAAGCTCAAAGCTGTGGTACTCCTCTTGTGTTGCCCCTTTCTGTTTTCTTGTTTCTTCCTTGGACCCTTAAGGTTTATTCTCTCTGACCTGGATCACAAGA